GCTTCAACGCCAGGGTCTGGCACGTTTTGGCATTGGCAAGAGCAGCCTCCTGGATGGGCCAGCACTATATAGGACTGGCCCATCCTGCAGGCTGCAGGTAGTTCCAAGAGACTTCCTAGGCACTTCACGTGCAATTCAGGAGGCAGGAGGTACGAGGTAGTCTTCAAGAGTCGGCAGCAACACTCTGGAGGAGCACTGCAGGAGTAGTAGTAGCGATAGCAGTACTCTTCAGCGTTGGGCTCTAGCAGCGTTAGCAGTAGTCTTCAGCGTTGGGCGCTAGTAGGAGCTAGAGAGAGAGAGATTGGGCGGAGGCCAGGGAGACTTACCTGCAGTGCCATAGCTCCAGCTTCGTCTTTGAGGTACCTGCAGCAAAGTGCCATCTACACAGGTTAGTACCTGGCAAAGGAGAGAGAGAGAGTTCTTCTTCTTCYTCTTCTCAGTCCACCATCTCCCTCTCACCCTCTCGCTACCTGACTTCACTGCATCAGCAGACTACGAGAGAGAGGGCCTGGTGACATTTGGATCCAGACTCGACATTGGGCTTCAGACATTTGACGAGGGATTATCTGGGACTTGTAACGAAGACTTGATGTTGACGACATTCCCATCTTCCCCCTTTCTTCCTCGTTTGATCCTCTCCTCTTCGTTTGTGTATGGTCGGGGCCTGGCGCATTCTTCCTGTGTGTAGCACCAGGTCCCTTCATACCTTGTGATGAGGATGATGTATGTTTGGTCTGTCTTGCGACATTGATTGGGTTGGTCATTGGTATTTTAGCATTCTGCTGCGCTGTCTTGCACTATGAAAGAAAGGTCAGTCCCGGTCAGGTCAGGGCTTATATCTAAGTCTTCCATTGCGCTACAAAGAACCATTTTTGTATGTATCAGGATGTACACTGCTTGTTGAGATTCTACTAGCACTGCATTGTCCATTCAGTCCTTTTTATCACATTGCGGATCCTTGGCTATATATCTACATCGCCCAACTGGGCATGTAACAGTTGGTATCGGAACACCGCACGTGAATCAGGACAACCTGATCTGACACGTGTGCAGGGACTAAGTAGCTGATTAGTCTTGATTGATTGATTAGAGCACACTAGTTAGCCCCCAAATTCACGATTTTGACCTCACTGCCGAAAATCGAATTTTTTTTCTCTTCTTGGATTTTGTTTTCCCGCTATTTCTGTTGTGGAAAATCGCAATAGCGCAACACCTGAAAGGCTGAAAGTTCCGTTTTCGTTTTCCTTCTGAAAATTCGAAATTTCGTTGTTGGAAATCCAGAATATGTTTTTTTCAAAAATTTTGATTTCCTTTTGCAATTTCCCGTTATTTGGAAATCCGAATTTTTTTTTTTATCTCCGAAATTCGTTTTCGAGATTTAAAAACGAAACGGGAAATCCCTCTTGCAGTTATCATTTCCCAAACTGCGCGTACTCTCATCTGAGTAATTCCGAATATTTGTTTGTAACTTTGTATTTCATTTTCGGAATTTTTATCGGACACTCATTTGCAGTCTGAAAGTTCGAAATTTTTTCCTCATTCATAATTTCGCACTTCAGGGGGAATTGGGAGGCGTACTGAACTTGCAAACGAGTATTTTTTCTTTTTCTCAAAAAAAAAAAATTACAAAGTTCAAACTTTTCTTTTTTGATTAGTGGCTCCTTATCTGTGCGATTTATCCCACCCGCCCCTCCCCACCTATGTTGTTGCCCCCTCTGGTCTTATCTTCTTTATTTGTGTCCGGGTACCCCCTGCGGCAGCATTGGTGAGTTGCCACGTCACCTGACCACGTCAGAAGGTCACGTCAGCAGCAGGCAGTGCCACGTCAGCAGGCCCCCAGCCTGGTCTATGCTCACGCGCTCGCAGACAACTGTCATGGACCAGATGTCCGGGGAAACGGACGAGGCCTATCAGGCCCGGATGCTGCTTCTGATTACCGAAGCAAAGCAACGGTCGGATGCAGTAGCAACCGCAACAAAGAAGAAGGCGGAGGACGCCGGGAAGGCACGTCTGTTGGCAATTGAACAGCAGCGCCAGCAAGACGAGGCAGCAGCAAAGGCTGCAGATGAAGAACGAATTCAAAGACGCGAGAAGATATTCAACGGAGAGCGAGCTTTGCTCACAATGGCAGCGGACTGGCGGGCCGAGGCCGAGAATAGGAAAATGGAAGACCGTGAAAACAAGATCGCTCTACTCCTCTTCCATTTGACGGATCTCCTGGCCACGTGCATTGCACAGTAGGAGGACATCCACAACCTCGACGACGCGGTTCAGACGCACAATCAAGTCTTAACCAAGTCAACAGCCGCCTCTGGCAGTTGGAGCAACGACCCGTTGCCACCCCCGATGCCAGCTCCTCCAACACCTTCGATCGCCTCAATGCATTGGAGATCGACGTCGGAGCCCTCAAGGACGACACGCAGCTACAGCAAACCACCACACAACAACTGGAGCAGCGGATCTGTGCTGCCGCCGCCAACCCAAGTTCGGCACCACGCGAGACGACTCCAAGGTTTGATGATTAGGAGATCTTTTGCGATTCGACGAAGACGGACCCGATTTTGTGGTTCCGCAAGTTCGAGCTCAAGTTGCAGCTACACCACGTCAACGAGAACAAACATCACGCATACTTGTACTCCCGATCAGAGGCCGCGTGCCAAGCATGGTTGGACAATCTCTTGTCCAAGTACAGAGTGGTAGATGTCGACATGTACACCAAGATCAACTGGGATGATCTAAAGGCAGCGTGGCATAAGCGGTTCCAAGTAGAGCCGCCAGAGATCAAGGCAATGGACAAGTTGATGACCTTCGAACAAGGCACGCTGCCGAGTGTTGACTGGATTGCCGAGTTCCAACGCTTGACATCCGTCCAAGATATCCAAGTGGGTTTCATGGCCGTCTAACACTACTTCATCTCGAGGTCGTGTCCGGCGTTGGGCAACGCCTTGACTCACTTCGAGGACACCCTAACGACAACGGCGGAGCTCTTCAACAAGGCCGCACAAATCATTATCACGAACAAGGAGGCCAAGAACCTCCACCGTTCGTCTGCGGCAGGCCTGAGTAGAGATCAGCATCGGCCGAAAGTGGTCGTGGTCGCGGCGGCAACGCCAACCGACCAATCTAGTGAGGTCGTGTCTGCCGATGAAGGGGACAGACTCGCAGCCGCCCGAGATGGTGGCCGCTCTGGCAAAGGCCGAGGAGCGGCAAGACGAAGACCTCATCTATCCCCGGGCCCGCGCAGCAGCTCCAGCCCCATGGTCCCACTACGGTCTCTCCGAACAGGCGTACAAAGCACGCACGAGATTCCGCTATTGACTGTGGTGTAACAGCGATCTCCACGACACAATGGGTTGCCCGTCAAAAGGCAAAGGCAAATCGGGAAACTGAACACCGCTGGGAGTGAATCGACGACACTTTCGACGCCTTCCGAACTGGTCGCTTCGCGGGTGACCGCCCTTCATTCCAAGGCACATGAGGAAGTCGATTGTCCCCCTCTTCTATATTCTTATGAGGACTATGCTGCCCGACTCGGTCCTATGCTGGGTACTCATGCTCAAGGACAAGATGTGTGTGCGGCATCTTCTCCGTCCGGTAGCGGCGACATATCCTCTTCAAGTGGTTCTTCACGGGATTCAGCGCGCGAGTTCAACATAGAGGTATTGAACCCACTCACACCCGAGGATTTCGCATGGCTTCCTCTCCAGACCACGGGCCGCTTGCCGGGACCGCAATGGGCAGCATTATGCGCTCATCTTCACACGTATCTATCCTTCTATGCACCACCAACTTCGCCGACGGATGACGAAGCTGCGGTAGGGACATCCTTACGTATGTTACCAAGGTGGCCCGCGAGTTTTGCAAGCAGTGGTACGATGACAACAACACACCACTCCTCTATGTCTGCATCCAAGTTGGGCAGGCGTCCTGCAGCGCTTTGCTGGATAGCGGCGCGTCTCGCAATTTCATGAGCCAAGCCTTTATGCAAAGGGCTGGCCTTGGCACACAAGTTCGGAGCAAGGCAAACCCGACGGCGATCAAGTTGGCGGACGGAAGGACGCAGCAACTTATCGACCACTACATCGAGGCCGTGCCGGTGTATTTCGCACCTCATGCATGCGAACCGGTGACGTTCGACATTTTGGACATGGACTTCGACATTATTTTGGGAATGCCTTGGCATGCAAGTGCGGATCACACGGTCAACTTCCACCGACAGACTCTTACCGTTCAGGACGCTTTCGGCATCGAAGTGCTGTACTATTCCTCTTCCGCACCCTTCGATCCGATGCCAAGTGGTGACGGCCAAGTCATTACGGGCTACTTGCGGTTACGAGCAGCCCGACGAGATAGGCCTATGCTTCCTACGGACCATCGCGGTAGCCGACTCGTCACCCACGGACTTGTCTTCGGACCCCCATGTGGTGCGGTTACTTGACGAATTCGCCGACATCTTCGAGTCACCTACCGGTGTTGTGCCGGATCGACCGATCTCTCACGAGATCATTCTTGAGGCCGGTGTCGTGCCGTCGAAAGGTTGCATTTATCGCATGAGCGAGGAGGAGCTTACGGTCCTCCTCACGCAACTTCATAACTTGTTGGACAAGGGCTGGATTTTCCCTAGTAGCTCCCCATATAGAGCGCCAGTTCTCTTCATATGGAAGAAGAACAAGGATCTACGATTGTGCATCGACTACCGTAGGCTCAACGCGCAAGCCGTCAAGAATGTGGGGCCTCTTCCTCGTATCGACGATCTTCGTGAGCAACGTGAAGTACTTTTCTAAGTTGGATTTGAAGTCGGGAAATCATCAGATTTCGATCCGGCCGAACGATCGCTATAAATCCGCGTTCAAGACGCGGTATGGCCATTTTGAGTGGGTGGTCATGCCTTTTGGCCTCACCAACGCCCCGGCGACCTTTCAAGCGGCAATGACCAACGAGTTTCGTGCGATGTTGGACCGGTTCGTGTTGGTCTACTTAGGCGACATTCTCGTCTATAGCCGGACATTGGAGGATCATCTTGAGCACCTTCGACGAGTGTTGGAGACGCTCCGCCATGCCAAGTACAAAGCCAACTGCAACAAGTGTGAATTTGTCCGGCAAGAGCTGGAATACTTGGGCCATTTTGTCACACCGGAGGGCATCAGTCCGTTGTCAGATAAGATTGAAGCCATCCAAGAGNAGTCCGTTGTCAGATAAGATTGAAGCCATCCAAGAGTGGTCGGAGCCGCGGAACGTCACGGATGTCCGTTCGTTCCTTGGCCTTGYCGGCTACTACCAACGTCTTATCAAGGGATACTCGAAGATTGTGGCCCACTTGACCAACCCACTATTGCCAACGCGCGTCAATACGGATGCGTCCGACTATGGCATTGGGGTCGTCCTCGAACAACACGATGGCGTGGGCTGGCACGTGGTCGAGTACTTCAGCAAGAAAGTGTCCGTCGTGCACTCCATTGATGATGCACGCAAGAAGGAGCTCCTAGTCTTCGTCCACGCGCTCAAGCGGTGGCGGCACTTCCTCCTTGGTCGAAGTCAATTCCGATCGGTAACGGACAACAATCCGTTGGTCTTCTACAAGACCCAAGACACCGCCAATGGCACCATCGCCCGTTGGATGACTTTCATCGACCAATTCGACTTATTTCCCGATCACATTCCCAAGAAGTCTAACCGTTTTGCGGATGTGCTTCCACGGCGTCCGGATCATTGTACCGCAGTGTATTCGACCTTCGAGATCGGCGATGACCTGCGGGACAGCTTCATCCGCGGCTACCAAGCCAACCCCGAGTTTCGTGACAAATACGTGAATTGCTCCTCTCCTAATCTGACGCCTTCCCACTACCGGATCCAAGAGGGGTACTTGCTTGTCCACACGTGGGGGAAGGACCTTCTTTGCGTACCGAGTGACTCTCACTTGCGTACACAGCTTCTTAGCGAGTTCCACGATGTTCCCGCCACCGGACACTTTGGAGTCAATCGCGCGATTGGCCGACTTCGCGAGCGATTTTGGTGGTCCGGTCTTCTTGGCGACGTCATACGCTATTGTGAGTCATGCGAGGTTTGCCGACGCTGCAAATCCAGCAACCATCGTCTGTACGGCGAGTTGCGACCATTACCGGTCCCCTTGCGCCGCGGGGAAGTGATTGTCATGGACATTACCGGGTCGTTCCCCAAGCACAAGACCGGTGTGGATGGGATTCTTACGGTGGTCGACCAACTCACCAAGTTCGCCAGGTTTTTGCCTTACCGCTATCATGCCAAGGCACCGGAGTTGGCCAAAATTCTTTACGCTGTTTGGATTCGAACCAAGGTTTACCCCAAGGAAATCGCTTTCGACCACAACACTCGGTTCATGTCCGATTTTTGGTTGGCGCTCATCAAACGATGGGACTCATCTCTCAAGCCAAGTTCGACTTGCCACCCCCAACCGATGGCCAAAACGGAGAGGGCGCATCAGACCGCACAGGTTCTCCTTCGCACTCTTATCCGTCCTGACCAAAAGGATTGGGTTGAGCGGCTGCCGAATATCGAGTTGGCATACAACTCTTCCATCTACCCGGCTATCGGGATGTCGCCCTTCGAGTTCGGGCACAGCTCGCCGGTCACTTCTCCGTTGGACACAATTATTCCACGAACGGTCGAGAGCGACGACCATCTTTTTTTCTTACGTCGAATGCAAGAGCTACTTGTCCAGGCACGCGACCAGATGGCTAGGACGCAGCAACGCATGAGCCAACAGGCCAATCGCCAGCGTCTTCCTTGCCCATTCCGCGTCGGCGATCTCGTTTGGGTTTCCGCCGCAGAGTTCATCCTTGAACAAGACATCTCTCGCAAGCTCCTCCCGAAATGGATGGGGCCCTGGCCGATCGTGGCACCCGCTAGGGATGCACCCGAAGGACCTTCATTCACCATTCAGGTGCTCGCCCACTTGCCCGTCCACCCGGTTTTTCATTGCTCCAAGTTGGCTCTTTACACGCCAGCACAACATGATGACTTTCCCGGGAGACGATCGCAAGACCCGCCCTCTATGGACGGTTTTCAAGAGGTCGGCGACATCATCTCCCAGCGACGCTACGGCAACAGGCCAACCGAGTATTTGGTACACTTTGCGTACTTCACTCACAAGGCTGACCATTGGTTGACCCGTGTAGAACTCCAAGCAACAGCTCCAGATGTTCTTGCACGCTACGAATGCAAGATGTAAGGCAAGCCGGTATCTTCGGCTCCACATCGCACCCGCGTCCAGGTTCCACCTTTAGATCGTCAGCTTCGCCCTCGACCCGGCTTGACTTCATCATAAGGAGGGGGGCGTGTTACATGTTGCGCCTACAACAAGCTGCACGGGCCATTTTCAGGCCCGTGTCGTTTTCAGCCCGAAAGCCTGAAAATAAGGGCCTACAGTCCCTGTGTCGTTTCAGCCTGAAAGCCTGAAAACAAGGGCCTACAGACCCTGTGTCGTTTCAGCCTAAAACAGGGCCTTCCCGGCCCTGAGTCTTTTCAGCCTGAAATGGAGGGCCATTTTCGAGCCCTCATAAGATCGACCTACCCTGAAACTCAGGCACCAGACCAGGGTTTTAGCACAGGCCATTTTGGGCCTGTTTTCAAGACAACCCTTGGTTGAGCTTCAACGCCAGGGTCGGGCACGTTTTGGCATTGGCAAGAGCAACCTCCTGAATGGGCCAGCACTATATAGGACTGGCCCGTCCTGCAGGCTGCAGGTAGTTCCAAGGTACTTCCTAGGCACTTCACGTGCAGTTCAGGAGGCAGGAGGTACGAGGTAGTCTTCAAGAGCCGGCAGCATCACTCTGGAGGAGCGCAGCAAGAGTAGTAGTAGTGATAGCAGTACTCTTCAGCGTTGGGCTCTAGCAGCGTTAGCAGTAGTCTTCAGCGTTGGGCGCTAGTAGGAGCTAGAGTAGTACTGGAGAGAGAGAGAGAGAGATTGGGCGGAGGCCAGGGAGACTTACCTGCAGCGCCATAGGTCCAGCTTCGTCTTCAAGGTACCTGCAGCACAGCGCCATCTACACAGGTTAGTACCTGGCAAATGAGAGAGAGAGAGTTCTTCTTCTTCCTCTTCTCAGTCCACCATCTCCCTCTCACCCTCTCGCTACCTGACTTCGCTGCATCAGCAGACTACGAGAGAGCGGGCTTGGTGACATTTGGATCCAGACTCGACATTGGGCTTCAGACATTTGACGAGGGATTATCTGGGACTTGTAACGAAGACTTGGTGTTGACGACATTCCCATCTTCCGGTTTCTTCCTCGTCTGATCCCCTCCTCTTCGTGTGTGTATGGTCTGGGCCTGGCGCATTTTTCCTGTGTGTAGCGCCAGGTCCCTTCACACCTTGTGATGCATTATTGTGTCCGCATTGAAAAAATGCGACAAAGTCTTCGAATCATTGTCCAATGCTTGAATCAAATGCCTAGTGGCATGATCAAAGCGGATGATTATAAACTTCGTCCTCCTTCACGCTCTCAAATGAAACAATCCATGGAATCCTTAATTCATGAATAAGTTTTGTCCGTCTTGTTGTGGACTTTTACAACGTCTCATTTATTTAACATATTGATTGTAGAAATGAGCAGTTCATACGGTGACTCAAACGGTMGCCCCAAAAATAAGAAATAAAATAGACACAAGGTAAAATCGTATAAAACATGGCTGTGGCTCATTCCTTTTGAGGAAACCTTGGGTTTGAAGATTTTGAAGTATTTTGCGATATCTGCAAAAACAGTCAAATTCTTACGCGTTTTCGCGCCTTCGTGGGATTCAGACGCGAAGCATCTGCTCTTCGAGCCGTAAGGTTGCCACCGCATACTTCGAAAGATGTTGTGGGCAAGGAAAGATACTCCTTTCGACACATGGGTGCGAAAAATATTTTGTTGGTTTACAAATTATTGAAGATATGGTTGGTCATAAATTTGGAGAATTTGCTTTTACACATTTGCAACATTGATTGGGCTAGTCATTGGAATTCTAGCATTTTGCTGCGCTGTCTTGCACTATGAAAGAGAGGTCAGTCCCGGTCAGGTCAGGGCTTATATCTAAGTCTTCCACTGCGCTATAAAGCACCATTTTTGTATGTATCAGGATGTACACTACTTGTTGAGATTCTACTAGCACTGCATTGTCCATTCAGTCATTTTTATCACATGGCGGATCCTTGGCTATATGTCTACATCACCCAACTGGGCATGTAACAACTAGTGTCCTCTCTGGGAGACTGGGACCTACCGCCGCATGCGTCTGACCGGGTCTAAACATAAATAAAATAAATTAATGTCCGGCGATTTACCTAGACTACCGGTCAAGCAGTATCAACAACATTCTACACAGACTGTACACATAGTCTCTTTCTATCCTGATTAGTCCTCTACAGAAGCTTTGAGAAGAACTGACTATGGTAGAATGCTACAATCCTACTCTAGGTTGTTTGTTAGGGCACTCAAGGTTGGACTGACTTCCTCACGGTAAGAAGAGATTGAGAGGGTAGATAAGGAATGGGAACAACGTACCTGAAGATAGCTGCCCCCAACCACAGATTTCTCACCAATTGGGCCGACGTGCATTTCAATGACCGGTCATAGCCTCGGTACCACCCACAACGCGATGCAGTGCCACCTCAGCCAAAATGCCATGTCAGCATGCTCTCATCATCATACATGCATCCGATGTCGCCACAGCTCCCACCCTGTCGCCACAGCCTTCCAGCGGTCGGCCCCTCTACCTGGGCCCTGCTCTTTCAAGCCAGTGGCAAAGTCTCCTTACTGCACATGAAGCATCGTCAGCGCACCAAGTAACAATGTCGCCATCGCCAGATAAGCGGCGATCAGGAACCAGCTCTGATACCAAATTGCAAGGAATATGAGTGGGACCGATATATAGAAAACCAAGTTGCGAAATCACACAAATGTCCAAGTAGCCGTGTACAAGCAAAGAGCTCAATAGCACTGAGAATCCATCCAAATAGAGCAATGCAATGAAGTAATGAGCCAATGTTCAAGCCCTCAGGCCACACCAACACAGTATCCAAACTCACTCCTCTCTGTCTGGCGCCCAGCGCCTAGCCTAGTCTACTCTTCTATCCTACCTACAGCTGTGTTCACGCAACAGGCTCACTTCGACTCTGGAAGACCAATGTACATGATGTCAACACCATAGCCAACCTCTCCTCATGCACCAGGTACGTACCTAGTCACCCTCATCAGACCTTGATAACCCACACACTCACCTCCTTCCCTGAATCCCACCAGATCGCCCTCTTACCCCCTAGCGCCCAACCGCCCGGCTATGGCTGCCAGCGCACCGCTGCCCTGCAGCGCCCCACTTCACCTCAACGCGCTCCGCCAGCGCTCTGACCGCAAGCAGCATTCAATGCAGCAGCAAAGAAGCGTGACCGCTTTGCCTGCGCGGGCCAGAATGCCTGGCCTGGGCTGCCTCACTTCCTATATGGAAGTGGCAGCCTCCTGGATGCTGCATATGGCCTGGCTGGAAGCATTCCAGTAGCCTCCGGTTGGGCCTCAGTTCCTGCCCCCAGGCCTGAGACTACAGTTGGGGCCCTTGGGCACGGCCTGAGTCTCCGGACTTGGGCCGTTTGCTGCATTTGCGCAGGACCCCGGGGTAGGTGTGTTGACAGTACTGCATTTGCATAGGCCAGTGTTGTGTGTATGTGCCCAGGCGCAACTGCCAAGGCCTGGGCCAACTGTATGACGCAGCTTAGTGAGGCTCACGCGTCCACTCAACCAACTGGCGGGCTGCAACAGCCTGAATACCCATATATGAAAATGTCGAATTTTGGCCTCTGATGAATATTCAGGGCCGCCTTCACTTAGGGCGGGCACTCGGCTTGCTGGGGGGCTCTGTATGTCTGATAGGGGGCACTCGGCTTGCTGGGGGGCTCTGTATGTCTGATAGGGGGCACTCGGCTTGCTGGGGGGCTCTGTATGTCTGATAGGGGCCCCGTGAGGGCTCGTTCCTCGCATGAGCTATATTCTCTTCTCAATTTCACCTTTCACTACCTACCCACCACTATTTCTAGGCCTATGCAGGGAACTCCTGCAAGCATAGCTACACCTCACTACAATCAAGGGGATGCATGTTGCCCCCCGTCCTAATCGGCGGTGGTCAGGAGTAGGGTGGTAAGTAGATGGGAGGCGCAGCTACTGGTAACAGGTGATTTTGGAGAGCTTGCGTTTCATTTCTAATCTCCAGAACAAGAAAAGAAAAACCAAGGCAGGGGACTCTTCATCTACCTCACACTTCGAGATTCCGAACCACTGACAAATGCATCCACGGAAGTCCAAGTATGAGTATGCCCTTATCTTCTCCCTCCTTTCTCTTTCCTCTCCTGTCAAACCAAGCTCCGCTCGAAGGCTTGGGCAGATCCACGTCATCCTCATCCCGATGATGACCTCCCTCCCGCGCTGCTTTGCACTCGGAGATGATTTTTATTTATTTATTTATTTTTAACAGATAGTAAGATACTACATTTGATCTTTAAGTTAGCCAAAAGTCGTAGAAAGGCATAGGGAGATGAGCTTCACCTGCCTCGGTTCAACAAATGATAATCGTTTGTAGGACTGGCCGCCATTATTATCGCATCATTGTCAGTTTGTGTACCATTCAGCCACATGGCGCTCAATGCTCTTCATGGCAAAGAAGAGCTTCTCCACCAGATCATTAGGTTCCCTGTTTGGGACACCCCGAATAGAACGTATGGTCATTATGCCTGTATTTGAAGCACCTTGCAGTCTAGATACAGGGATATGCCTGTATTTGAAGCAACTTGCAGTCTAGATACCGCGATAATGACTGTACACGCTCTATTCAGGGGGAAACTGTAGTGTGGAAAGTGTGGCTACTTTTTTTCCTTCTTGGAAAGCACAAATTTATTACAAGACATTGCAAAAGCACAAGTCAAGTTTACAACATTGCATTCGAGGTCGGGGACCTTACAATTCTACCGGGTAAATATTGGGGCCTTTACCCAGCTTAGGCTTGTGCTACACAGACTTATGGTTGTACTCCACATGCTTGTGTTGTGGAAAATCGCGATCGAAAGAACTCTGGCAATAGTGTGATAACATGGTGGGGCTCCACATACCGCAATGGGCGCGGTTATTACGAGAGTCCCGCCTTTTCATACTTTACAAAACTCTTAGTCTCGGTCCATTTTTTTGTCCAGATCAATTTAGCAAACTCTCCGCCACAGGCCGGTCCAGGCCCTGGACTGATGAGGTACA